GATGCCAGCCGTTTTAACTGCAGAAAAGAAAGACTTGGTTGTACGATTGCCTTTTCTGGGAGGCGCAGCAAGCGAATAAACAAGAAAACGGTTATGGATGGCCACCACGAGGGCTTTCCCGGCGGCGGTGGCGGCGTATTCGTAAACTCTCCCTTTTTACGGGTGGGGGAGGGGGGGGAATGCTGTCTACCATTGCAGGTCACATCGATATGTATTTATCTATTCATCCGCTCCTGCGGAGCGGGATACATTGGGCGAATGAGATATCTGGAGAAGGAATTCTATTTACAATGTAGCACTTTCTACTTCCGGCACCACGCCACGCAAGAGGTCGCGTGATTGCAGGTCTCGGCCTGCCTCTGGGGCAGCCAATCGGAGGTGCCACAAACTGCTATTTACCGAGCAACCAATCAAGCGGCCACCAACTCTCTCGCAGTACGTTTACGCATGCACAACCACCTCACAGACGTGGATGCATGCTCCGAGCTTGCCACGCGTCGGGGCGTCAGACCACCACTGAGTTTCTGTACAGAATATACAACTTCTGCCGGTCTTTCCCTTTCCTATACGGAAGTGAACGTGATAATTGTAGTGTTCTGAACTCACCCATAGCCCGTGGTGCAATGGTATAGTGGTAAACTCAATTATCGAATATCACACGTCCGAATCTCGAAGGCTCCGACCCTCAAGATTAGGTATAACCGGTTAATGACGGCTAACAATCCAGAAATGGCCATTCCGGTCTCCCTTTGCTTTTTCGGATCCATTCCACCCTATCCTTCTAATCGCTATGTGACTGCCTGCGCGGACTCTAATGTGAGTTCCAGGGCGAAAACGGAACTTAGTTGAGAAGAAGACTTGATCGCTGGGACAATACGTTTATTCGCCTGATGTTTCGACATCCGTCGCGAATTCATCATCAGAGACATGAGTAGCAGAAACAGGTACTGCATACACAGAAGTTTGCAGTATTTATAGGATACAGTCTGTGCACGATTGTACCCTTTAAATACTGCAAACCTTTGTGCATGCTTTACCTGTTTCTGCTACTCATGTCTCTGATGATGAATCCGCG